ACACTTGTTGTTTTGAAATCCAGACCCTCGGAGAAGGATCACTATCTTCCTTCAGTCCTAGACCTTCTCCTGGAAGTCAACCAAATAGACAGAAGTGTATATGTATTTCTGAGCTCTGCTGATTTTTTTTCCGCTGATCACTGTCCCCCCACCCCCTGCCAAGGACTTTACGAGCACTCGTGGAACGCTGAATTTTTCAATGTAAACATCATCTCCTCTCTGTTCCCCTGTCAGGCACCCCTAACTCCAGCAAAAGGGTTGTTATAGTTACTGTCTAATGAATCATCACCGTAATTGCAAATCACTTGTGTGAGCGAATTATCTTTCATGGACCAAGCGGTGCAAGGAAATTTCTCAGAAGGAATCAGCATATTGCCAGCCAGAGTCCGGGGAGGATCAACACAGCTGCAACACTTCTGCATCTCCAAGCCAATTATGAAATTGGATGGTCCCAGGCACACATAGACTTCTCATGCAGACTAAAAGGGTCAAAGGGATTTTTCTATTCCAGATGCTCCTGCTCTTTCAAAGTCATTCTCTGCAATTCATAACTAAAATGACAGAATATTATCCAGGAGTCATAAAATTTAGATATCAGCTTCCACGCCATCAATAATAGTCAATTACATCAAGAGTAAAAGAGTTATTATGCCATAACTATCTGTGAACTACAGTCTATTTTAGGCGCTATGTAAAATGAGTTTGTGGATATATGTGGATACAGAGAAAAGATAGTTGGGGGATTGAGATATTTTTACATCAGTGCAACCCAAGGAATGGCCTCATGTTATGGCTTACCACATGGGATGTCACCTGAGATCCAAAAGTTCCTAGCTGTGGATTTTCTGACACCATGGCTGGAAGATTCAGCATCATGACATCTCCAGGAGCTGACTAAAACCAAACAGAAGCTATTTCTTTGCTCTGAAGCTGTTCACGCACAACTTTCATTCAGCGGTGCTGCACAGCCCAAAATGTCATCATAGTCTGGGGCAAAAGATGGAGAAGGGTGGTCCTCTGGATCAATAGTTGCCAACTTTGCATCTCCAGATGTTCTTGGACTAAAACTCCCAGAAGCCTTCACCACTGGCTGTGCTGGCCAGGATTTCTGGGAGTTGGGAGTCCAAGGACATCTCAGGACCCATTTTTAGGACCATTGGCCTAGAGGTTGCTTCTGTAAGACTCTACATCTGTGGTTCCCAATCTTGGGTTTTCAGACATTCTTGGACTACAGCTCCCGGAAACTTTCCCCATGAGCTGTGCTGGTCAGAATTTCTGGGAGTTGTAGTCCAAGGACATCTGGGGACTTCCAAGGTTGGGAACCACTTCTTTAGATCCAACTCTGATCACCCCTCATTGTTGGTCATGGTGGGAACATCTCGCATGGAATAATGAGAATGGCTTGCCTGCTTGGCTTGAAGGTTCACGCCACTGGCATTCAGAAGACAGAAGCAGACGGGCAGGCATAGCCCCACCATGCAACCTGGGCTCCTACAGGAGTGTTAGAACAAACTGGCACATATTTCCATTGTTTCTGTTGGGTTGCCAAATGTTGTTATCAAAGCGTTGCACACCGCTTGACACTCTTAGTGGGTAAAACAATCTGTTCTGCATTAAATCATGTTAACCCCTCAGTTCTTTGATGTATCAGCAAACACGCTTCCCTCAATACCGTGACAAAAGGTGAGCCTTGGGGAAATGATCCACAGGCATCGCTAAGCCCTTGCTGGCAGTACTGGCAGGGCCGGCTCTGCTGTCTGGCAGAGTGGGACAGTTGCCTCTGGGGGCAGATGCTCAAGGGTCCTTTTCCCCCTGGAGCTCTCTGTTCCTCCCTCTTTCTTGGAGGATAGTGTTGTATTTGCATTGGGGCCAGTCCTGCAACTAGGGTTGAGAATCCTCTTCCATTGGAAGTGACTAGGTATGAGGATTTATTTTTTTGGAGGGGGGATTTTTCTCTCTATGACCACCAAAGTTCACCTGGAATTTCACACAGATAGAATTCTGGTAGCCTTAGCCAAAAGACCTAAGTTTTCGGAAGAAGTTCAGGATACACACCTGTTCCTTGCTGAGGTTCTCTCAGAAGCAACAGCCAATAAGGATGTGGGTGGCACTTTCTAAGCTCCATGGGAGCTGCAAGGCATTAGGGGACGGTAGTCTCCCTGTTGATTTGGCTGTATAGGGAGTATCTTTTTCTCAAAAAAACAAAAACAAAAACAAATCCTGCCAGGAATGAGGATTATAGGATCCCTGCTAGTGGTGACAGATGATACTATGTTTCTTCTATTCAGAAAGACCAGGATCTTTGACCCCATGACCCATGACTCCCATATGCCATTGACGTGGAAATTAGTAATAGGAAGAAAATGGAAAATGTATTGTTTATTAAGTAGGGACTCCATTTGAGGATAATACAGAATGGAGGTAGTGGGAAGAATAACTCAATTTGGTAGCAGAATCCCCTAGAGCATTGGTTCCCAAACTTGGGGCCCTTAATGTTCTTGGGCTACCACTCCCAGAAAACCTGGCCAGCACAGCTAGCAGTGAAGGCTTCTGGGAGTTTCCATTGATGCAAGGTCTGCTAACAGCGATTAACTGTTCTATCTCTAAGAAGGAAGAGAAAAGTCAAAAAGCCAGAGCAGAAGCTCAGAGAGTGGATGAGAAAGCAGGAATAACAGAAGCAATAAGGAGGCCATCTACTAAGGCTATGTAAAGCGCAAGACCGGAGAATCTATTCGATCCACCAGTTCCTTCTCCACTTCTCCAGTTCAGAACTCTTGCTACATATATTGATCTGCATTCCAGGAGTTGTATCCTTCTGGGGGGGGGGCAGGATGCAATCCCCAATGAAAGGAGACAGTGGGAACACTTGTGTTTTCCGTGTCTTTCCTTGAAATTCACCCTGGCCTCAGAAATACAAAAGATGAAAGGTGTTTTGCCTTTCTCTCTCTCTCTCTCTCTCTCTCTCTCTCTCTCTTCCTACAATTCAGGTGAAAGCATGACCTTTCTTAACCTTACCGTCCAGACGCACTAAGAG